ATGGAGATATTACTGGTTTTGGCTGCAGCTGGGAAAAGCAGTCTTAGAGGCAGAGTCTCCCTCGAGTGGAGCAATGCTGGAAGAAGCTCATCATGGGAATGGGGTAGAGCATGTGGTGGTCTCTCCATCACAGCCATGTGGATGGAACTGGCAGGCTCTCTTCTTTCATAGGAATTGCCTTTTAGGATAAGGGTCACCAAATTTTCCTGAGATAGTGCTGAGGTTGTTTAGAAGTTTGCCAGACTGATTGTCCACATTGCATCCATAGATGAATTAATGTGGAACATTTCTGGAGGAAGGATTCTTCTTCTCTCCCTGCATCTCCAAGGAATGTTTTAATGAAATATCTGTAGGCACAGCACCAAAGACCAAGGGAGCTGGGAATGCCCAGCAAGGGGTTATGTAAATGCTGCTGTACTTCTGGCACTTGAGAGAACACAGTGTTAGTAAGAATTTGTCCAATACTGAAGATTTTTTGCAGATCAAACACTTAATATATGCCACATGCTGCAGAGGAGCTTACAGCAGAATAGGTACAATCATGCAGTCCAATAGTCCAGCAAAAAATGGATTATTCCAGAGGCAGCCAGTGCTGCTCATTCTGTCTGGGAAGAGGCACTATGAAGGGGATAGGGTGGATTTGCTCCAAGATGCAGCAAATGGAGAACAGCATTCTCTGCACCCCACAGTTGTGCAAGAAGTGGCCTGGGGTGGGACCCAGGTAGTGTGGGGAGTGTTCCCTCCCAGCTGCCAAGTCCTGCTTGTGGAAAGTCTAATCTGCCTCACAGCCAGCCCGCCCCAGCACGGGGTCACAAAGTAATCACTCATAGGGAAAGGCACAAAACAAGCAAAGGAGAAATTCTCACGCTTGCTTAGAGTGATTAGCTGGGGAGCAGATCACCCAGGGCTGGCTCTGTGGGACCCTGGGAAAAGCTGCTGTGCAGCCCTGGAGCAGCATTCCTGCTGCAGGCTTTCCAAAAGCAGGTGTCATGGGTAAATCTGTGTGTGCTTGGCTTCTTCAGTGGCACTCAGGGATGTTCATGCTTGGTGCAGCACTTGGGGAATCAGGAAATCAGTTCTCACCTGGGCTGTTCTGCAGAAACTGGTGAAGTGATCATTCTGCCTTCCATAAAGAAAATACCAGTTCTTACTTACCTGTACAGGTGCAGGAATAGCATGGAGGGTCTGTGTGCTCCAGAAGTGCTGGACAGTATTGCTGGTAAAGCAGGAGAGCATCCCTTGTGTTACCCTGTGACCTTGGCCCAGTGTGTTGGATGCTGTACAGGAACCAGCAGAGGAATCCCAGGGGATTGTTTTCAGCAGCTCCTGTTTTTAGGTGGGATTCTGTTCAGGTTTGTCTTTAAAGGAAGCTGGTGGGACTGTGGGCCGTCAAAGCCTCCCTGCTTGCCTTTAGCTGGTGTCTTGTGTTGACATGGACACAATTAAAATGGGTTTTGGTAATGGAGAATTTTGGAAGGGAAGTCAGCTGAACTGGAAAGGAAACAAGTTGAAATCTGTTACAGGTGTCTGCACAAGTGTGTCCCTGCTCTGACTGTGGATGGGTTTGACCCGAGCTTTGGCAGAGGGAGGGCAGCCTCAGAAAGGAACAAGAGTAGGATCGTGTCCTATTTTAATAAACCTGCCTGGAAGGCACGTTTGACAAACAGCTTTCCTTGATATTTGTTCCACAGGGGAGGGATTTGCACCAGGTGTCTCAGGGGTTTTGTAGCTGCCAATGCACTTAGAAGTAAGAGAGAACTTCGTGTCTGATGGCTCCTCTGGCCTCGGTTGTGCAGGTTCCCAGGGTCTTCAGGAGCGTCCCTGATAACAGCCAGCTGGAAAAGCAGGAGGAAAAGCATGTTGGCTGAGTGGAGAACAGGCTGTTTAACTCGTGCATCAACACAGAGACCCCCTGTCCTCCATCCTGAGGCAGCACTGTACACCCAGAGGGCCAGGCTGAAAATGCCTTCCACCCAGCACCAGCCAGGCCCTTGGCACAGGAGCAGGAGGTGACTTTAGGGTAGGGGCCAATGCCACAAAGTCCCCTGGCATTTCCATGGGTGGCTGTGCCATTGCAGCAGGCAGTGAGGGAGGGCTGCCACCAAAGCCATGGCTGGAGCAGGGCTGGGAAGCTCAGCCATGCCTGATCTGAGGCTGCTGTGCTAAGAACGTGTCTGTCCCATTTCCGAACTCCCTGAGATTGCTCTCTCTTGATGGAGATTGATTTTTGCCTTTGGGAACCCGAGGGTATACATTGTGCTCAGAATTGGCCTGAGCTGAACTTAGAGAAACTGCTGATGTCTTTGCTCTTGAGCAAGTTAGGATTTTATAAGCTGCCTCATAGACTGTGTGTGGCTGAATGGAGCAGGAAAGGGAAGAGGGGGAAGTGAGAGACATCCCCCATGGATGGCATTGCCTATGTATCCATGTTGTGTTGGAACATTCAACCCTCTGCAATTAATATCTTAATTCCTTTCCCCTTCAGGGGAAAAATATAACCCTAGCCATCTAAATTCATGGATTAGCCTTTTCTCTGCTGCAAATGTCTGCTGCCCATCAGGTTGTTCTCTTGAATAAGACAGCCAGAAAAGCAGTATTGGCCAGCCTGAGCTGCTCTGCCATCAGCAGTGCTGGTTTGAGCAGCTCCCGAGGTGGAAGCCAAGGTGATGGCCAAGGCTGGGTGGTGCTCAAAGGTTGGGCAGGCAGAGGCTGAGGGGTCACCCCCTGGGTTAATGACTCTCCAGCCCCTGAGCCCTGCTCAGCCACTGCCCACGCCCAGCACACAGTGTTCACCTGCAGAGCAAGGTGAAATATGTTCTCCTTGCTAAAGAGAGCACATAAACAGCCCATGAACGGCCCATTAACCCACAAAATTGCCATCAAGAACATGTGGTCAAGCGAGCATCGGGCACCTGTGACCCAGCAAACGCCCTAATGGGACTGTGAGCCTTATCATCAGCCCTAAGTGCAGATAATGGGAAATTGGCAACAGGGAGAGCAGGCAGGCAGCAAAGAGGAGGTGATGGACCTGGGCACCCAGGTTCAGCGTGCAAAATAGTGTGGAATGATCGTGTTCTGGGTGGGAATATCAGGGGTGACACTTCCATATCGTACAACCACTTCAGAGTGACTCAAGAGGGAGTTGTCCCACTGGCTCCAGTGGATGCCTTCAGCAGCTCAAGAATCTCTGCAGTCCTTTCTCTTACAGCCTCTTCCAAGCAGCAGCCACTGCTGTGGTCCACCTTGCTTTTTGAAGCAAGAAGATGGACATGTCTTTTATTCGTTTTCTAGCTGGGATATTTTTATTCTATTTGAATATAAAAGCATATTGAGATTCCTTAGTGCAGGTAAAGGACAATGGAACATGCATGGTATGGACGGATGGCATCTTGTGCCATGGGCAGGGACACCTTCCACTAGCCCAGGTTGCCCAAGCCTCATTTAGCCTGGCCTTGGACACTTCCAGGGATCCAGGAGCAGCTTCTTTAGGCAGCCTGCACCAGGACCTTACCACCCTCACAGGGAAGAATTTACCCCCAATATCCCATCTAACCCTGCCCTCTGTCAGGGGGAAGCCATTCCCCCTTGTCCTGTTACTGCAGGTCCTTGTCAGAAGTCCCTCTCCAGCTCTCCTGGAGCCTGCAGGGAGCTGAATGCCTCGTGATGGGGAGGCTGCTGTAGCAGTGGGGCAAGGTCCTTGGCCCCCAGGAGATTCCAAGGACATTTATGATTACAAATATACTTTCAGTACCAAAGAAAGCTATATTGCTGAAGCATCATCACTCTGAGTAATTTAGGAAGAAAGCTGAGAAAGTTTATTTAAGGAAAAGAAAAAGGAGTAAAGGGCATGTTTTTTACTGATTTCTTTTTTCCCATTGCAAATTGAGAGTCTGTTTACCCTGGAAAAATCAATGTGGTTACACCTGGTGTAATTAATTATTTTGCAAGAGACAGACAGCTGATCTTTTGAAAAGAAAGGAGTTTTTTAGCAGAACTGTTCAAAGTTCATAGTCTGCTGTGTATCTCTAATGCTGATAAACATCCAGCAGAAAGGATTCCTGTCTTAAAATTTCACATGGTCACACCTTTATTTTAAAGGTGATATGCTGAGAAAACGCTGTAGAGCACAAGGAGCCCTCCAGCAAGGTGACTCTGGTGATGTGGGCTCCAGTTGCCTTTAGGAGATGCCCTCGGGCTTTAGGATGGGGACAGTGGTGTTCTCAGTTTTGAATTCTGAATCCTTAATCAGGAAAGGGTTTCTGTCCTTTTTCTCAAGCTTATGATACAAACAGACTTTGCTTGTGCTGTGTGTTGAACATAGTTCTTTTGCCTAAACAGGCAGTCTTTTCCAATAGGACCAGTTGTTTTTTTTCAGTGCATTGGTGCCTGACTAAATGCATTGGGTTGCATTCTTCATGTATAGAGGAGACAACCCTTCTGTTAAGTATTCCTGTGTTTTCCAGTGGTGGGCTGGGGAGGTTCCAGCCTGCCTTGCAGGCCAATGGCAGCCCAAACCTGGCTGGCAGGGAGGGAGGGGAAAGCCAGCAATGGGATGCTGTGCCAGCAAGCCCCCAATTGGTTTGGCTGGAACTGGTTTTAGGTCATATAAAAAAGGGGGTGAAGGATCCGGGCTGCTCAGAGAGCGGCAGGTCCTCGGGCAGCGCCACAGAGCGCGTTGGTTCTGAGCTCCATAGTGCTTTTTTTTTTTACAAGGACTGCAAATTGCTGTAACATAGTTCAGGTCTGTAGGAAGAGACAAGTTTTCCTGAACTTTACTCCCAGCTTGAACTTGTAAGAAGTTCAGTGAGACTCAAGGAAGGGGAGAGAGGGAGCCAGAGGCACCCTCGCTCACGGCCCTGCGTCCGCAGCGACGACGATGTCGGATGGCAGAGGCAGCGAGGAGAAGCAGCTGAATGGCCTTGGGGAGCAGGGCAAGGAGAGGAGCCGCACTGCCCTGGTGGTGGCTCAGGCCGTTAACCGCAGTATTTTCACCTCTGCAGTCTCCCCCGCCGCCGAGCGCATCCGCTTCATCCTGGGAGAGGAAGATGACAGCCCCGCGCCCCCGCAGCTCTTCACCGAGCTGGACGAGCTTCTGGCTGTCGATGGACAGGAGATGGAGTGGAAGGAGACTGCAAGGTGGGTTGGTTTTCCTTTACCCTGAGAGGGAAGGGCAGGCAGCAGCGCTCCCATGGGAAATGCCTGTTTTAGCATTCCATTGGGTGCTACCCGTGCTCCGGGATTGCATGGGCAAGCCACAGGAAGGAGCTTGGGTAGTTCACATCACCATTCTTTGATAAACGAGAGAATTTTAGGGTTTCTTTAAATATTCCAAAAGATAAAACTAGGAAAACAGCAGAGTGCCAGATAGACTGCAATAGTTTGCCTGTGGAGAGAGCAGTATGGGCTCAGTATTGCTTTGCAAAGGGGGACACATCTCGGCCGGAATTGCCAGGAGTTGCTGGCTGAGTAAAAACTTCATTACTATTGTCCCAAAGTGGCTTTGGAGCCTGCTACCACCTCACACCACAGGCTGGGAAATTCTAGCTGTCCCCATCCTAGTGAGTTACTGATAGAAGTAATTTTAAAAAGGAAAAAAACTTAAAGGTGTTTTCTTGTGAAGAAATTGTTCAAGGTGCATGTTAAATGCTGGATGGGGTTGCTTGCTTTGAGTTCCTTGGTTGAATTCTTTGATGCTGCTGTTAGTTTGGAAGCCATGACAGAAAAGCTGGGATGTCTGTGGAGTCTGGCTACTACAAGTTACATATAGTCTATATCTGAACATCACTGACCTATTCCCAATTGCCCTCACTGAGCCTGGGGGTTTTCCTTTTCCTTTTTGGTGGCTGGGCTAAGCTCTTTCCCCACCTCCCCCTCTTAAGGGCACTGTATGTGTTCAAAGTTAGCCCCTGTTTGGTCACCTTAAACTTCTTTACCTGTGATTTAATGAGCTCTTCCACCTTTACCTCTTATCTTGCTTTATTTTTGCTTCTCAGTCGCTTGGGGAACTTACTTAATGACTTTTTGCCTTTTACTCTCTAACTTCTGACTTGTTGCTCATCCTTTCCTCCATTTATTGCTCTTCTTTCCTCTTACCATGAATTCAGCGCTTCCTGATTGAGGTGTTTTTACCTGTCTTTGGTAGGAGTGCTGCACTGAGCTGTGTGTGGGGTTCTCTCCAGGGTTCTTCTCCCAAGCAGCAAACCACAGGACGAGAGGAAACAGCCTCAAGTTGTGCCAGGGGAGGTTTAGATCGGATCTTAGGAAAAATTTCTTCACCCTCAGGATTGTCTGCCCAGGGTAGTGGTGAAGTCCTCATCTCTTGGGAGATTTAACAATGTGGTGGTGGCCTTGGCTTTGCTGGATTAATGTTTGGATTGGATGATCAGGTTTGCCAACCTGAATGGATCCATGATTCTTTGTAGGAATTACACAGAATGTAACGAAGCACCCTGTTGAGGTGCTGTTTAATTTCTAAATTGGTCCAACCTCCTGCCTTGGATAGTGATCTCACAAAGTGTCTGATTTTTCAGTACACTCCTGAAATTACTTAACCTTGCACCATAGAACCTCCTGAGCATCTCCCAGTACTTCCAGAGCTGGCTGGTGCTGTGCTTCCGTGGGCACAGGTCTGCCAGCTCTTTTGGGGTTGCTTTGCATCTGCTGCTGCAGAACAGCTCCCCCACAACTGAACACAAGAAAAAGTGCAGGGCTGTGCAGGTGGACGAGAGAGGGGAGGGCAGAAGAGACTTGGTGGGATTGATGCTTCCCCTGGCCCCAGGGTAGAACTGCACAGCTCCCAGCTAGGGAGAGCAACACTGCCTGCATGCAGGTGCAGGGCTAAAGCCTGCACTTGTGTTTGAGAGAACAAACAATCAAATCACCTTCCTCATCTCCCTCCTGCTCTGTTCTGACATCTGCACATTCCTTCTGTCTGCTGCACCTCCCTCCCAACCCCGTGAAACCTGTGTTCGTATTACCAGGTATGAAAGGGTGAAGGATAAAAATGTAATTCCTGACACAGCTTATATAACAACAAAGATCATAATAGAAGTTTAAAAAACCCATATGCACCATCTCACAGGCCAGCACTGTCATTCCTTTTCTCTGTAATCCCATCTCTTCCTGCCATCTCCCTTAGAGAGCAGCAGTTCCCATGCTATGGTGGACCTGTCTTGGTCCCCAAAGATTCTTCACTGAGCCTCATGACAGGCTGGGGGGCTCCAGCTGCTGCAGGTCTTTTCCTTTTTGTGCTTCACTCTGTATCCTCTGACCACCTGTGGAATGCAGGCATTCCCATGTTAGTGCAGCCTAGTTCCTGGAAGGTGCCCCTGCCCATGGCAGCAGTCTGGAACTAGGTGAGCTTTGAGGTCCCTCCCAACCCACACCATTCTCTGATTGCATGAATAGAGCAGGAGTTTGTTCACCCAGGTCTGCAAGTTAATGTTTGGTTTATTGTGCTGGGATTGTGGACTGGAGTGAGAAAAGTAAACAAAAAGCAAATATTGATAGTTGTGAGTAATCACTTTCCCTGGGAGAACAAACACTGGTAATTTGCACCCTTCCTGCTGTTACAGGATAAATGTAACTCGGTCCCACATCACTCAAAGCCCCTGAAGTGCACAGATTTGCATCCACCCGGGACTGTAGGAAACACTTAGTTTTTGTGAACTAAAAGGACCTTATTAATTGGAGATAAAAAACAGTCTTTTAGCTTGAGTTAAAAAGCAGCTTGAAAAAAACAAAGTCTCAAAAAGAGATTATTGCAATTGTGAAGCATAATTGATTAATCCTCAAATAATACATTTTTCAGGATTAAAGATAATTTTGCTCGCTGTTAATAATATTCTTTTGAACAAATTTATGAGCTTTCTTACCTTACTTGTGTGGGGTTTTTTCTTAATAATCCCTTTATATTAGTCACTGGAATTTTCATTTTCCACATATATTAAAATGGTGTCTCAAGAGGGGATTAAAAAGCATTTCTGCTTTGCCATTAGGGCATATTGAACCACCTTTTCTTGCACCCCCAGTTTACCCCAAGGCCATTGCTGGTAAGGAGGAAGGTGTGGGCCAGGTGAGATGCCTCAGCCCAGCTGCCCATCCCTGTGTGCTCCAGGCTGGGCACAGCAGAGCCAAGGGCAGGGTCAAGGCTGCAGGGGGGAGTGGGGGTAGGCTGCAGCCCAGGGACGTGGAGCCTCCTGCTTCCCTGCTTTTAGTTTTAGGGGTGTAAAGAGTATTTTGCACAACCAGGATTTACCCTTTGCTCTCACCTTCCCTTAGAGATAAGTTTTCTGGATTTTTCAGACCTGCTTGGTTAAATCATTAAACAGCAGCTGGAGGGAAAGAATGAGCTCCTTAATTTGTGCCTTCTCCTTTGGTGACTCATTTGGTTCTCTAAGACCACCTTCAGACATGGCTGGGATGAGCTCCTCTCTTCCCCTCTTTGTCAGCCTGTAGCCTGGGCCAGCAGTGTTCCATGCTGCCTGCATCTTGGCAGTGCCTGATTCTGTATTTTATTGCCTGAATTTGAATCACAGAATCATTTCGTTGGGACCAGCCCTCTAAGGATGATACAGTCCTACCATTAAACCAGAACTGCCAAGATAGCAAAGGTGAATGGTGCCTTATTTCCAGAAATGCTGATTTATTTCCCTGCAAGGAGGCAGCAGCCTTAACCCCATGTCATTGCTCTGCCTTGTTGCAGGTGGATCAAGTTTGAGGAGAAGGTGGAACAAGGTGGGGAACGATGGAGCAAACCACACGTGGCCACCTTGTCTCTGCACAGCCTGTTTGAGCTGAGGACCTGCATAGAGAAGGGCTCCATCATGCTGGATATGGAGGCCTCTTCCCTCCCACAGGTGGTGGGTAAGTACACCTATCTTGGCTCTTTCCTTCACTGCTTCCTCACAAGTTTTTATTGACCCTCGTACGGTTTTATGGATGGTTTTAATGAGAAAGTGCTGCTTTTCCAATAAAAGAAGGAAAAAAAAGAAAGAACAAGGAATAAGTGGGGAAAACTAGAAAAGGATAGCAGATAGGTAAAAAGAATTCTTCTCAGTGCAGGAAGAAGAGCAAAAGACATGAATTTATGGTCACTGTGGAAAAGGTGACATGTGGAAGGGCCACGTGTCTGAGGACAGAGATACCCATCAGGTCCCATTCATGCAGAACAGCTCGGGCCAGGAATTGCTCCTGGGTGAGGTGTTCAGCTGCCCACTGAAGGCAGGTGTTCAGGATGGGATACCCCCCAGCCCCAGCAAGGGAGAGGGGAGAGCACCCCCAACACGGGCTGGTGCCCTGCTCTGCAGAATGGGAGGGTGGCTTTTGTCCGGTCAAGTTAACTGTGCCCCGAGTGACGCTCAGTGACAGGCTGAGAGCCAGAGCATGCTGCCCATGGTGTGTGAGAACTTAGAGAAAATAAATCTTCCAAGTGAGCCATCCAGTGGAGTGACTTTTAACCTACATGATGAGTTTTAAAAGAGCAAAACTAAATATTTCCTTCGCCAAAACTCAGTGCTTTGAATGATCATCTCAGGAAGTAAGGTTAAAATTATCCTGGCATGGAATTCTCCCATACACTGGATTGTAAGACTTGGAATTACAGCTGCTTCTGGTGTTAAACACAGAGTTTTGAACTTAGTTTTGCAAGTGCTTATGGTGACATTTATCTCCCCTTGCTTTTGTGTCTGTGTATCCAAATGCACGGCATTGCAAAGTTTTAACAAAATAAACCCCCCCAAGAACCTCTGAAGTTTTCTGCTGAAGGTGAACCTGCTTCAGAAGCTGATGTTCATGGTCAAAACGTTAAGCCCTCAACATTAAATTTTCTCTTGAAGTCCCTTCGAGATGTCACTTTCAATCTCCTTCTTCAAAACCCAAATTAAATCTAATTCCTAGGAGATTAAATTACACATCGGTGGCTGCTGTTGCTGTGACACTGCGACACTGTCCTGAGCAGGGTGTTTTTTGCTGGTCCAGACCCTTAATCAGACAGGTAGGGATATCCAGGACTGGATTTCCAGGATGATTTAATCATGATCACTTGGCTGGTGTCTGGTAGTGACACACAGGAAATAAAAATTCCAAAGAAAAACTGTCTTTGTTGTTTGTGTCTTATCAGCAACAGGGAAGGGAAGGGCCAGATAGAGAAGGATAAACTTGAATGAAGGTTCTGAAGGAAATACTCCAAAAATCACTAACCAAAACCATGAGCAAGAAAAGCTTGTATTAAAATAACACTTAACAAAGGTCAGCCTGTTGCCAAACATGTTGTGTAAGGGTACCTACGTGTGTATACCCACCCTGTCTTAATTCGAGAGGAAGAGCTAGGCTCTTCCTTAGGGGTTTGAAGAGGCATTAATTCCTGGGCAGCACGTAGAGGATGACTTTCTGGCTCACTGAGTTAGCAAATGTGATCTGTGTCCTGCCTCCCCCTTGCCATAACTTTTATTATTAGCACAAATAAAAGTTACCAGCAGACAAATATGAGCTGCCACTTGCCCTCAGGGGACAGTGCATGAACTCAAGTCATCAAGGGAACAACTTCATGCGAATTTTACTGCACAGGGGACATTCTTTGTAAGTCTGGCCACCTTTTTGCCTTTTTCCTGTGGGATAAAGGAGGAGAAAGGAGGGAATTGATGGGAAGTGGGCAGACATTGAGGATGCTGGGGGTCTTTTCTCCTGGCGGCTCCATGAAAAGTAAAGCCATATAATATATCCTGTGGTAACTGGAGCAAGTTCTGCCATTTGTAGTTGCCATCACTTCAATCCTGCAAGTGAATGATTTAATTAGTGGCTCATCTCCAGGACTTCTTCCTATCTTTAGATTAGATTTTACTGAGGGCCTGCAAGGTGAACTCAGGCCTTGTTCAATCTGATAGAAGCTTTTTGAGAGCATCGTGGAACTTGCAATAGAGTTATTGTATAAGTCCAGGCTCAGAAGGGATTCAGCTTCTGAGCTAAGTCTTACCCTGGTCTTTGAGATAGACTCTGTGGCATGTAGGAAATAACAGAAGGGATTCTCCATGTAATAGGTGTGTGTTAGTGGCCCGTGCTGGGTGGAAGTGCTTATGTTCTGTTTCAAGAGCAATGTCCAAAAGAGATTTTCATACGAATAAAACCTGGCTTTGAGATGGTAAGAAAGCCTTCAAAAAGGCAGGGTGAAAATGCCTCCAAACCCCTGCCTCTGCTGTCCCTGGAAGCAGTTTTGAGCTCTATGGTTAATTTTGCTCTCTCCTCCCTCTTTCCCTCCCTCTCCCTTCCTGTGGCTGCCACAGAGATGATCGTTGACAATCAGATCGAGACGGGGCTGCTGAAATCCGAACTGAAGGACAAGGTCACCTACACCCTACTCAGGAAGCACCGGCACCAGACCAAGAAATCCAACCTGCGCTCGCTGGCTGACATTGGAAAGACCGTCTCCAGTGCAAGTAGGATGTTTTCCAACCCCGATAATGGTAATGCAGAGGCTCCCTGGCTATGGCCTTCTCTGTCACAGCAACCCACCTGCCCAGAACTAACTGTGTGGCCCTGACACTGCTTTCTAACCCCCGTGGGAGCAGCGAGACCGTGCTGATGGCACATCAGCGGGGGCTCCGCAGCTGCTTCGGCCGTGGCACGGCGCTCTAACCTCATCTTCACTGGACTGACAGGGACTCCAGGGGCAGCAGGAAGGTGGGAGGCTGCTCTTGCTGGCGTCTAGGAGATGGTTTAGGAGCAACAATAAGAAAGAGAGATTGACAAAAAACTTTGGTGGGGCCTGAACCTTAAAAGGCTGATCACCTGAAACATTTGGGCAGAGACGAAGCTTCCATGCACACTCCATGTCTGTAACAGTGTCAATGGCACTGTGAATCAAAAATGACCTGGCAGTAAGATCTAGCTTGCATTTTATTGCCATACAATCATTGTCCAGTGGGGTAAAGCTGATTTCCATCTTGCTTTATTCGTCCTAAAATAGTTTTGTGATGTGCGTTGTGAAAATGTCTCGTCTCCTCTCTAAAAAAGGTGTAATAGGTAGTGCCATGTTGGTAGTGCTGTCCCTACACGTGTGTGTGTGTGTGTATGCAGACAGCTACGGAGGCCTGGGCACTCAGTGCTTGCCCCTGGGTGGAGATTTGGGGTCTTCTTGCTCATAGTAATAAAAAAAAAAGAGGAGTTTTAAGCCTCTTGTCATGCCTTGGAGTTCTCTCAATTGTCTCCTGTGGCAGTCTGGGAATTGGGCTAAAAGTTGCCATTTTAAAATACCCAGAAATAAAAGCAAGTGAAGAAATTCTTTTCTTCTTGCTCCAGGAAAGGCCTCTTAGCTTGCTGTGTTTGGCTTCTAAAACCACCCTAACCTTCCTCCCTTGCACTTCATTAATATTTCCTACCTTGGATCATCCTTTGATTTTGCAGCAGGAGTGTGTGTGCATGTGGAGCCTGTTCCTTGCTCTGAGTGATGCCTCTTGTGGTGTCCCAGTGCCTTGATAAGGTGGTGATGGAGTGAATGACACAAGGGTCAATAATGTGAACCAAGGGAGCATTCCCAGTGAATATCCCTGCAAGAGTCCCATGGAGCAGGCAGGGATAGGGGCTCTAGGGAGAGCACTCTGAGGAAATTCCAGCTTTAGGGAAGGGGCTCAGCGTGGCCAGATGAGTCCTATAGCTGGGGGAGCCATGGGCAGGGACCACTGCTAGACCACATTGCTACAAGGCCCAGCCAGGCTGGCCTCCTGGATGCCTTCCCGTGGTGTGCTCCCCACGGCTTGGATGGAAGGCATCTGCTTCCTGTTACCACCTCCGTGACTCTGAGCCTTCTGGACCCTTGGTGGCCAGGTTTGCTGTGAGGAGCACAATCCTGGCCTGTGGCCATGGTGTGTGGGAGGCTGAGAAGCAGGCAGACACATCTTCAGCTATTGCTGCTCGGATGCCTTCAGTCCTGGGCTGCAAACCCCTTTTCCTGCACTCTGTAGGCAGAGCTTATCCCAGGAAGAGTGATGCTGGCAGAGGGCATTCCTCACATTGTCACTCAGCCCCTGCTCGTTTTTGATGGCTAAAGGCCTTCTTTACTTTAAGTGATTTCAATTTCATTCATTTCTTGTTCTTTGTTTGAATGGGCCGTGCAGGTCCTGGCTCAGTTGGACTGATTCTCCAGGAATTCTTTCCTGGTCTGGCCATCAGCCACTCCTTTTATGTTGTTGTGTCTCTGCTCTCCCACCTGGGATATTTATGTGCTCTGAGGATGTGTAGCACACTCTGTTCCATGACAGTGCATTGAGACTTGAGGAGGGTGAGACTGACATACAGGGGAAATACCTCGTGAATAGTCACTACTCTTATTTATTATTTACACTTTAATGAAAAAGTAACTACAGAACGTATTTGATCAGATTATACACCTTGGATTCAATGAGTGTCAGCGTGTCCTTTGGACAGATAAAAATTTTATGAGGCCAACGGGAGTGCAGCTGTCTCTTAGCATGGCTAATCACCATAATGACTGGCCCCAAGCACTCCTAAATTTCCCTAGAGTTTCTTTCCAGGTAGGTGTTTGTTTTCATTTCAGTGTCAGTGAAACTTCCATCCAGTATTGATGCTGCCACCAGGTCTGAGCATCCACCTTCCCTTTGCAAAACAACTTTATAGGCTGCTGTAGCTGCCTTCTGCTTGGCTGGCTCAGCAGGGACACCTTCTGCAAGCCAGCCAACCTGCCCTTGAACACTTGCAGGGGTGGGACTTGTTTGCTAGATCTGAAATTTGGAAATATACCCTGGGCCGTGGCTCAAAAAAATCCCGAGGTGCCTCTATGTCACTTGGTTCAGAGTGCTTAAATAACCGAATTCTTAGGGCTTCCAAATGTTTTGGTTTCTTTTTTTTTACTTCTGAGATGAATGTGCCCCATGCAGTTATCCCAGATGCCTCTAGAAATTCAGGAACTTAAGAAAGAATGATATACTGCCCATCTCCTTGACATTACTGATCCTGGAGCATCTCTATCCTTTGCCAGCCCTCCCTAGGGATGGGAGTGGCTCTGTGGTCCCCGGGAGCCAGTCATCCTCAGCCTCCATGTTTCATGTCCCTGCTCTGTTTGAAGGTAAGGTGGTGATCAGATGGCCAGAGACACAGCCAAGGTGTGCTCTGACACCTGCTCTTCATCACTGCATCATAGAGGTTCACGTGGCTCATGCTGTGGCAGGATGTTTTGTCAGGAATCCCTTTGCTCTGGGAAAGGAATTGGGCAAGAGAGGGTATTTCCTTGTGTGCCATGGATGGGGGAGGATCAATCACAACACTCCTTTGCTGTCTGTTCAGTAGGAAAAAGATGATTGCCAAAATTCTGGGCATACAAAGCTGGACTAAACAATCCCTCCACGCCTTGCTCCCATTAGAAGAAGATTGAGCTGTATGAAGTGTTCAGCAAGGATATTTCCATGTCACATGTTAATGGGACTCCTGCAGGGGTTTTTTATGGGTTTTTGACAGGTTTTTGTGTGTCTGGTTTTGCTGAGTGGCTTTTGTATCCCTTCCTGGCACAGCCCTTGTCCTGCACCCCTGGAGCAGTGTGTAACACTGTTCTAGCAGCTCTGCAGTTGGCACACCTTGGGGTTTGCCATGGTATAACATGGGATCTGTGCTTCCCATCCCTTCTGCAGGTGCCTGAGGACTGATCAGTATTTGCCAGCCTTCTGTGATGATATTTGCTACCCATTTTGAGATTTGTCTTTCAGAGCTTTGTGCCCGCCGACGTTTTGTATAATTTAACACCCGTGGGAGCCTTTGGCAAGTGAGAAACGATCAAATGCTGCTAAACCCAAGTTGGCAGAGCCTATAGAAAACTGTGATGTGTTTAGGTGTGTGTGTTTAAGCACCATAAATAATGGCACGGTCCCATCACCGCGTGGGTGCTGCCTAAACACCTCCTGAGCACTGTTTGTTCACACTGTGCTGGCAGCATGGTTTGGAAACAGTTGAGTGGGAATAGCAGGCTGTTGGCAAGGTGTCAGCTGAGGCACAGGAGGAGAGTACCTGGCTGCTGGGGGAAAAGGGTTTTATTCTGCTTTAGAATCCTAGAAGAGTTTGGGTTGGAAGGGGGCTGAAAGACCTTCTTGTTCCAGCCCCCTGCCGCTGGAAGGGACACCTTCCACTAGCCCAGGTTACTCCAAGCCCCATCCAACCTGGCCTTGGACACTTCCAGGGATCCAGGGGCAGCCACAGCTTCTCTGGGCACCCTGTGCCAGGGCCTCCCCACCCTCACAGAAAGGATTTCTTCCTAATATTCCATCTAACCCTGCCCTCCAGGAAACCATTCGCCCTTGTCCTGTCACTCCCTCCCTTGGAAACAGTCTNTGGCTCCTCTGGTTCAGCATTAGTCAGGTCAGAGTTTTTCACATGAACTGTGACCTCAGTGCCTTTATAGCTGAACAGTGGCATCAGCTGAACAATACCAGCACAGAGGTGAGCAGTTGAAGTCAGAAATGAGGTGATGTCCATGGAATGCTTGGAAAACCTCTATCAGTGTATGTACTGGCATCACTGGAGGCATTGCAGACTAAGGTAAGCATTTCCAAATCTGGATTGGTGTGCCTGAGTATGTACAGATGCTCAAAAGTTGGCTCCTGGGACCTGATCTCTGTTTTCAAAAACCTTTTGTTACTGATGGTGCTGCAGCCTGGAACTGCTCAGTTCCACCAGCACTGCAGCTGCTCACTCACTTCCTTGAGGTGTGCTTCAAAGAAGCCTGAATTTCAGACACCAGGGATGGAAAGCTGTGTCCAGCCCTGCCACGAGAACGCTGCGAGGTGGAGCTGCAGAGGAGATGTCAGGATCTAAATGAGTGGGCCTTGGTGATCTCACACCTTCTCTCCTGCCTGCCTTCCCTGTACCACTGCTTGAGCCTTTCTTTCTGGCATAATTTTATTTTCTTTTCTTTTAACTTTCCCCCTTTGCTCTCTTCCTGCTCTTTGCTGCTGCTCCTGTCTCCTGCTTGCCTGGCCCAAGCACGCAGCCCCCTCGAGAGCTCCGTGCCCTGCCTGGCCACGCGCACGTTGGACGATGAACTGGGAGTGCAGCGCAGCCCCAGCGTGGGATGGCTCAGTAAGTGCTGGGCAGGGCTCTGGGTGGGCAGTCTGGGGGCCAGGACACGACCAGGAGGTGGCAATTCCCCCCAGCCAGGCTCCTAACGCTTGCTGCTGCATTAACAGTGGGGAGCGGTGCTGCTCTGGCTGTTCAGTTTATCTCACTGTCTCCTCCTCTGCTCTGTTTCGTTCTGTTTTCCTTCCTTCCATCATCTGGGATGAAGAGGCAGGTCAGGCCATACTCCCCTTCCAAGGGTAATCTAAGGTGGCTGCTGGCACTTTTTTTTTTGTCTCTTGAAGTGTCTTTTGGCTGTTAAAGGGGCTGAAATATTTTAATTTTCATATAAATTATCCTAAGGTAGTCTGCCAGCTTGATCTCTCTGGGATGAGCCAGACAGGTCTCTGGCACCACTCCTGTGTGATTCCCTGTGTCAGACATGACTCGTGGGAGCCTTGCTGATCCCAGAGGAGCACACTGCTCCTCCCAGGAAGGCACAGCTTATGCCACTGCTGGCACAGAGGTGTTCTTTGGTGGCCACAGGAAGCCACCAATGTCTGAATTCCAGGGTATTCCCCTTGACAGATCACTGTGGAGCTGATTCCCAGGACGAGATAATAGCATGGAGGGGTCTGGACTGCCTGCTGTACTTCCCTTACGAGTCCTTGGCTGAGCAGGCCATGGACAGGCTCAGGTCACCTTTGCCAGAGAGACAGGAGTGGGAACTGGGCCTGGATCAGGAAATGAGCCTTTGTTAGCAAACACCATAAGGGTGAGTGTTGTGTGCCAGAAGTCCTGCACAGGGGTCTCAGCAGCCCAAACTTTGTAGTCCATGTTTTTGTGGAGTGGTGGTGAGTTTGTGTGGCTGTGTGGAGCCCATGAGGAGAAGGTTTGTTTGGAGCTGCTCTGGCTGTGTGGCTGTGTGGAGCCCATGAGGAGAAGGTTTGTTTGGAGCTGCTCTGGCTGTGTGGCTGTGTGGAGCCCATTAGAAGAAGGAGGCTGGTAGCAAGGGCAGAGAAAGGCACAAGCCTTTCTTGACAGAAGAAGTCATTATATCCCAGGGAGCAGTCAGCTTGGAATCTAATAAACAAAGCAAACAAGTCATGTAATCTGGAAAAATAGCAGCTAAGTGGGGTCTTAAATAAGAGCAGGAAGAGTTGAAGCTGGGGATCCCCATTTGTAATACATGATTTCTCTAATTGTGCTTGGCTTTGGCCGTGCTGATGTTGCTGAATGTGGCAGTAACACACAGCAGGTACAGCTGCTTTGAATCTATCCCCACACATGTTCTAAAGAAAACCTGCCTCTGAGGAGCCCAGAGTTTTTATTCCTACTCCTTTGGTTATTTGCTCCTGATGCTGATTTATTATTGAGCTCGTTTGTGCTGGGAGCTGATGAATACTGAGAACTTGGACATTCCTTTTAATAATATCAAATAAATATTGTCTCAAAATGCAGCCTCAGTTGGGAGATACCTCCTTGCCATTTTTTTCTTTAAATGTTTCCTCTCTTTCCGACGAAGTTCATGGTCAGAAACTCTGGGATAAAAACTCCTGGTGCTGTTTCAGGTTCCTACAAACGTGATGAGAAGGGATGGGAACGTTTCAGGATAATTTATTACAATTCATACTGACTGCTGTGATTTCTGATCCTGTATCCGTCCCAGAAGTCTTTGTTTACTATTGGTTTGTTGTTTGTTTTGGGTTGTTCTAAATTTCATTATTTTGCTGTGTCTCTGGAGAGTTTCTTCACCTCTCTGGAGAATCTGGTGTCAGGAATTGGTGACTCTTGGCCCATCAGTGTGGCACATGCGTTGTTTTAATCAGTGAGATGCTTAAGGTTCATGAGCTTAGTTAATGAGCTTACTTGGAGTGAGGGAGGTGTTTACTGGGGCTGTCTCAAAGGAGCAGGAGCTGCCACCCTCCCTCTCTGGCTGTGCTGAGGGCAGTGTCTGGGATGCTGAGCAGGGCAGATGCCAGCCACGTGGGAGAGCTGAGGCCAGGGCTTTGTACCCTGCACGGTCCCAGCCCTGTGAAGGGATGGGTTTGTGGTGGGTCCTGGGTGACCTGGCCAGTACCGTGGGGCTGCTTTGCTTCTCTCCCACAGGCAGGAATTATGGAAAGTCCTTGGACTGTTTTGCTGTCCTGGGAGTCACTGGACTGCTAGGTTCAGAGGTGACAAAGTGTTAGCATCTTAAACCCCCCTGTGCCACATCAAGTGACAGAAAGCAGCTTGTCAGGGTCAGGAATTCCCCACATGAGCCTCCCAAGGAAAGGTGTTGCTGTAGCCTGAGCCTCTGTGTTCTGACTGGATCCAAGCAGGTGCTTTAACTGGTGTGGACGTTGTTCTTACAGGCAGCCCAGGCATGGCTCACCGAAACCTGACTTCCACCAGCCTCAACGACATCTCGGACAAGCCTGAGAAGGACCAGGTAAGCTCCAGGTCCAGCCTTCTCTCAGGGATGTGTTTGGAGAGGAGCTGGATGTTGGGGAAATGGCTTAGCCCTGAAAAAAGAAGAGGAGTGAGTATTTCTGAGTCCTGTGGCTGGTTCCTCCACTCTTTTTAAGCACCAACCCTAGGAAACAGCAGGTTAATCTCTTACAAGGTCTGAAGCAAGTGACACCACATAGATGGCATCTTGCTGATCTGCATGGGAAAGGAGGGAAAATAACCAGGGAGTGATGGATTTCGGATCCTCTTCCTGCTGAGGGGTTACAAGGGTCCGCAGAGGAACACCCTGGGCTGAGTGTTCACAGGAGCCATGGGGTAGAGCAGGACCATGTAGGGGAACGTGTCCCTGCTGCAGCAGCTGGTGGAACAAAGGTGCCACCTCCCCCTGCACGTCCCAGCAGGAGAGAGGCTGTGCTGACAGGTAATGTGGGAGAGCAGCTCCAAAATGCAGTCAGTAATCAAGTTAAAATTGGCCTCTAGTGACAAATGTCCCTGGACTTGACCTCTTTGTTAGACTAGGGTAATGTTTGTGCTGTGGCATACGGGCTGTCTTTGTGTGTGTTTCCGTCCTTCCCGAAGGCTGCCCGTTCTGAGGGGTAACAGTAAGTTTATTCCAACTCTTAGAAAACTGGTGGCTGAATGAGGTCTCTGTGCAAGTTTCAAAAAACCTTTGTCTGGGTTCAAAAAGTGGGTTATTCTCAAAGCCTGGCTGTTTCTTTCGGAGAATCTCTTTTCTGGTCTGTGTCTTTGAGCATTCCCTAGTCCCATGGTGATTCTGAATACAAATGAGTCACTTTGGAAAATTATTTGGGTAGCACAGTGTTGCTGGCCAGTTGGGGATGACTCTCTTCCCTCAGCAATGGCTGGTCACAGTCTGCTGTAAGTGTCTCCTGAAAGGGACACAGCAATATAATTGAAGTAGAAAAGTGAGTTCAGACTAGTGAAATATTTTTAAAAGAAATAGATATTTGCACTTTCATGGAAAGAGAAGGAGAACAGCATGTTCTATACCGACCTCAGTGTCATGCAGTGTTGTAGTATGTTGTAGTGCCATCTGTATTGGTTGTGTTTCCAAAATACCTGTTTCCTATAATATACACAGCCACACCTGGGGAAGAAGGAGTATTATTAAATAGCTTTTGTCATTGGACAAACTGCTGTGTTATATTTTTAATCCCATTGCAGTTGGGGTTTTAATGCTTGACCAGCCCAAAGCTGAGGCTGAGCATTGCAGCAGCTCTCAGTGGTGTAGACAGTCCCCACTGCCCCTCCTGTGTCTCTGGAAATTCAGATAATGGACTTTGGTGGAGAATTGGATATAAAAATAGATGTTTTGGTAGCCCTAATAGGGAAATCTGTTAATAGATGCAGCTGGGAGCATGCTCCAAAGTTCTTAAGTTCCAATGTGCATAATGCCTGGCTCTTGGTAGTGAGAACTATTTCTTGCTAAGTGTAGAGTTCCAAAAAGCCTCTCAGTTACTTAGCCTGTGTCCTGCTGATGAGCTTTGCACAAGTAGGAGCCTTGTCCTCTGCACCTCGAGACATCACCTTAGAGCTCAGTTTTCATGGCTGATCGACTCAAAGTCCTGCCTTGACTGAGTTTGTGGCATTGTGGTGGTGCCTGGCAACTTCCTGGAGCAGGACTCGGTGTGCCATACAGGAGGCACAGCAATAATCCATCGTGTTCCCACAACACAAGCTGCACAGGGAGGGAACAGGTTCACTTTCCTTGGCAGCAGGGAGACTGGCTGTTCTTATCTGGGCTTCCCATCTGGAAGCTGGACAGGTAGTGAGGCCATACAGGCAGGGGGGAATCTGCTGGAGACACAGATTATGCCAGTTTTTATTTATTTGTGTGCTTGTAAGAACTGCAGTGGGTGAGGTCAGTTTATAGCAGTTGCATGGAGCAGGACTGCCTTCCTGCATCCTTAATCACTCCCTGGTTTTACACACATAGAGGCTTGTGTGCCCGTGTTTTAGAGGAAAAAAGGCTTTGGCCAAACTTCTTTGTACCTTCAGTGATTTTCCTGTCTTCCTACATCCTTAATATTCTGTTCTGAAGCCTTTAATGCTATTTGGAATGGAGCAAGTAATACTCTAGGGAGTTTATAGCCAGCATGCTCCCTTGATCTGTAGCATTCCTGCTCCTTTTCTCTGGATGTTGTAAGGTTCAGGTTTCACATGCATGTCAGAGAACCCTCCCGGATTCATCCCTACTGCCAGGGACCCACACAGCTCTGCCTGGCCCAGGGGTGTTTGCATCAGCTGGCCCTCTGTGCCGTGGGAATGGTGGCTGGATCCATGGGGATTGCAAAGAGGCTGGCTCAGGATCCTGCAGAAGCTGCTGGGCCCCAGCTCAAACTGCTCCCATGAGAAACAGCTTCAGGAAGGGCCCACGGATCTTGTGTCGTGTCTTGTGTCGTGTTTTTTGCTTTGGGCTTGTTTGGCATTTTATAAAGATAATTAGGGAAGAGGGAAGTGTATTCCCTTTCATTGTGTTTGTTTTTGCAGAGCACTGCCCCTGAGGTAACAGTGCAGAGAAGGCATTTGCCTTCATTTGTTGTATTGTAGGAGGTGTTGGCTGCAGTTAATGCCCTGGGCATTTGCAGCTGGAGAGACAAGCAGTGGCATTTTGGGACAATTTATTCTTCTTTTCTGTATAGCAATTAATAAGTGAGCATCTAGACTTCCTGGCCTCTCCTGGGCTCCCAGCTCTCTGTTGCCAGATACACCAGTGGTGCTGGAGCTATGTCTGTAAAACCAGGACCTCTCGTGGCTGGAGAAGTCCTCAGCTCCTGACCATCAAGTTGTTGGATCAAGTTTTTCACTAGCACCATATTCATAGAATCTCAGAATGGATTGGGATCTTAAATATCATCTATTCCAGCCCCTGCCAAGGGCAGGGCCTCCTTCCCCTAGACCAAGTCTCTCCAAGCCCTGTCCAACCTGGCCTTGGACACTTCCAGGGATGGGGCAACCACATCTTAATATTTAGAAACACTTAAAACTTTTATTTTTTGCAGCTTATATGTGAAGGAAAGTGACTGAAAAGAGTCAGGTAGATGCTTTATTAGCCCCTCTGGTGCCATAGTGCCAGCAGACCATAGGAAAGTGGGGAAGTTCCTCCTGCTGTCCCCACTCCAGTCCCTCCTCCTGCAAGAAATGCTTTGGCTGTGCTCTGTTAGAATGTCCTTGGCAGCTCCGAGTGCCTGAACCACCAGGACTCCTTCAGTGCTAACATGTAAAATAAAGAGGACATGAAAGGAAATCTCTTTTCCCAGGGACCTGCTATTCCTGAGCTGGTGCAACAGCATATAGAAAGGGAATGTATGTTGATATAAGGGGAGGTTCCTGACCTGGTGTTATCTCTGCTTCCAGAGGGCTTGGATGTGGGACGAGCCTGGCTCTGAATGAATACGGTCAGTCAGAGGGAGGCACAAAACCTTTCTTATTTGTTGTGGTGTAGACACTGTGTATTCAGCCTGGTGTTTCCATGTCAACAGGGGATCTGTGCCAAAGCCACTGCTGAGGTTAAAAAAGAAATTGGCCTTGTTTAGAGAAACTCTCCTGCCTTTCCTGGGGAGCAATGGACAGCGAGGCGCTGCCTGGATCCCATTCTTGGGAATGCAGTCCTGTGATTGATTGTGGGAGTGATTGCCTACTTTTCCCTTGGAACATCTTCTCATCTCCACAGCTGCAAGCAGACATTCCCAATTTTGAGGTCTGTTAGCTTGGGTGGTGTACTTTCCCTCCATGGAGCTCCAGGGAAAATGACTGTCTTCCAGTACCATCAGTGCCACCCTTCTGGAGGAAAGGAGTAAAGGAAAAGTGTCTAGAAAGTTCAGTTAACTGGAATTGCCTTTACTTTTGCTGTTTTTCTTGATGCAGAGAGCAGTTTTGCCTGCCTGGTTTCTCCCCAAATCCACGGTGGCCCTCTAAACCATCCTTGGGTGATGGAGCAGCCTGGAGCCTAGAAGGTACCCCTGGAGGCAGGTGTTCATGGGATAAGTTGTGGGAAGATGATCAGGTGATCTTAAACCTATGTGTGAGCAGATACAGAAAAACAGAGAGACAGACAGGTTCAAGTTCCAGGGGGAATTAACCTTCCTTAAGTGCTACTTAGGAGCTGCTTTCATTTCCAATTGATCCAGAGTGGTGGTGGTGATCCAAGTGCTACAGTACATTTCAGGAAATTGGGATTTTGAGGTTGTTGTGTGCCTTTTTGCAAGTATAGTGCCGGAGACCTGTGGCTTTTAACATAACATTAGTGGTTGGGTTGAAATAATGTTCAACTTGGCAGGGGACAGTGAGGCTCCCCCGTCCCTCCCTTGTTCCTGGATGCTGCTGAGGAGTCAGATCTTTCCAAAGCTTCTTTGGGGAATGGTTCAGAATGGATTTTAAGTGCTGACTGCACTCATTACCTGTCTGATAAATGATTTAAGAAAGTGGTGAGTAGTGCTGCAAAACTCATTTGGAGATTAAAAAAACCCACAGTAATGGCACCTCCTCAAAAATTAGTGACAGTGGTTTGCTGTGCTTGGCAGGGGGGAAGGGGCTGGAGCCTTCAGCCTCAGGAGCTGGGTGGCCACAGGAAACCTTGCAGGTCAGTTCTGGCTCAGAGAATCACCTGAGCCAGGTGTCCAAACCAGCCCTGGTGTTGCTGAATGATCCTTGTTCCACTGTCTGTGGAAGAACTGGTAGCGCTTTTCCAGACTTCCTCCACAGTGCTCCTGGATGCTTATTTACTATTTTTTTCTGGTGGTAATCCTGATTGAAGCATGCAGGGATAGAATAGTTCCAGCAGTTTTCTTCCTGTTTAATCAATTCATGTATTTTCCTGAGACTTTTTCCATTTTTCTCCTTCCTTGAGTCACCACATGCAGCTCATTAGGGATTCATAGCCCAGTTCAGTGCCCCCCTGGTGCTGGTGCTCCTGGCAGTACATCCTCCCTCTCCATTCACCCTTGGCCAGGCACACACAGAGCATCTCCAGAGATCACCCAGGGAGAGGGGCAGATTGGGAACCAGCTGAGGGCAGGGTTTTCAAAAGCCTTCAATTGCATACGAATTCTGCCGCTGCTGAAGTTCACACAAAGGCGTCTCGCAGAGGCTGAGCTTTAGAACCCAGTGGCTGCTGCTGAGAGTTTCCCCTTCCCTGGTGATGACATTTCTCCATGGCTGGATCCACACCGAGGGTGCACCGCTACGGCACTGAGATGAGAAGAACGTGCCCAACGCAACTTAATTTTCTTTTCCTTCCTCTTTCACTGCTGCAGCTGAAGAATAAATTCATGAAGAAATTGCCTCGTGACGCTGAGGCCTCCAACGTGCTGGTCGGGGAGGTGGATTTCCTGGAGAGCCCCTTCATTGCCTTTGTGCGGCTGCAGCAGGCGGTCATGCTGGGAGCTCTCACCGAGGTCCCTGTTCCCACACGGTAAGGAAACCCAGCCCCCAGGCAGGCACCAGACAGGGAGCCTGCACTTGCACCTGGTGAAGTAAAAAACCAGGCCAGAAGATGTTCTCCACATCCTTTCCATGCCGTGACACGCAGAACCGTCAGGATCGGTGGCGTAAAGTAACAAAACTCGCTGAAGCTGCTTCATCATTTTCAGGTCCTGAATTTGGTTATAAGTAAACCATTGCACAAACACACTTAACAACTCAGCAGTAAAGGGCACTATCAGTGTTCAGTTGAAGTCCCGGGGCTTTTTTCCTGCCCCTTCTATGCAGATCCCAGATTCCCTCTGCACGTTTTTTGCTGTACATTCCTCTTCAGCTCAGATCAAATGGAAGATTCAATTCTGGCCCTCCTGGGGCAAAAATAAAAGTCAGGTGAACTGGGACATACAGTTCTACTGGGGCTTGTTGCTTTGTAATGCATAATGGCTCAAGGAAAAATGTCAGAGAAATATTTTATTTATTGTGACTCATGTTGCAAATTAATCTCAGTCTCACAGATAGTAATATATCTTGTGTTCGTAAATATTTGAAGTCACTGCTTGAATATGCCTGCCTGTCTAAGCTGCCCAATGTGAATTCATAGCAATATCACAGCCCTTGTATGGAGTGGAAGTTAGGTGGCTGTTGGAATCCTTGCCTCTTTTTGTGCACCAAACAAAGGGAAAAGAGGTTCTAGCTTTGCTCCTTAGTGGCAGTAGCAGTGTTTGTATTTCTTGGAGTTTCATTAAGTGGTTTCTTACAGCCATGTCCACAGCTGTCTGTACACATTGGGTATTCAGGTGGGAGTGTGGGGACCCAGATGTGGCTTCATTTTGTAGCAGGTTATTCATGCCTCAACATTCCTGGCCTCTGTGTGCTTCAGTGTTTCAGCTTCCAACTCCAATCCCACTGACTATTTTTTAAACATATCTCCAAGTTCTTTTCAGCAGTTGTAACGTTAGGTATTGTTTGCTGTGGTGGTGGGAGCCAGGATGTTAGATCCAGGATTGCTGGACAGCCTCATTACTCAGTAGCAGTAATCAAGGCACTATGTCCTTCCACTCCAGCATTTGTCCCAGGAAATGGTATTATCCATTTGCTGTTCTCCAAAGCAAATACTGGCCCTAATCAAAGCAGGAAGGCTCATTAGGTGGCTTTCATGAGTGATGAAGAGCCATTTGCCATGGCTGCATCCTAGGAAATTCAATCAAGGAAATCCCCTCAGGGCCAGGAGGAGCTGTGATGGAACATCTCCGGTGCCGCGGCATTCCTGCCCTGGGCCTGCACTTAAAGCCCGCAGACTCCTCAGGATGCTGGAGCCTCTGGCATGCCCAGCCTTCTGTGCTCGGGCTTCTCCTTTTATTTTGTTAAGTTGTTGATTCGCTGGTAAAACTGTGGTCCTGCACAGCTCCCGGGGTTTCTCACACCATGGGAGCTGACCTTTGGGTGCTGTGGGCTGCAGGACTGCCATGGGCCGGGTCTCTCAGTACTGACACTGAGACCTGTGTCTGCCTCTCTCCTTGGTTTTATGTAGGGCACGAGGGGGTTAAACACGCAGGTTTTGGCTCAGGGCTAATCCAGCCCCTCTCTCTGGGGTGCTGTTTCAGGTGGACATTTCCCCTTCTTAAGCAACTGCAGATAGAGAAGCAAGGAATGGTTTGGGTTGGAAGGGAGCTCAAACACCATCTTGTTCCAACCCCCTGCCACAGGCAGGGACACCTTCCACTAGCCCAGGTTGCTCCAGACCCTGTCCAACCTGCCAGGGATTGGACAGCCACAGCTTCTCTGGGCACCCTGTGCCAGGGCCTGCCCACTCTCACAGGGAAGAATTTCTTCCCTATATCCAGTGTAACCCTGCCCTCTGTCAGTGGGAAGCCATTCCTCCTTGTCCCAAGTCCCTCTTCGGCTCTCCTGGAGCACCTTTAGGCACTGGAAGGGGTTCTGAGGTGTCCCTAGAGCCTTCTCCAGCTGATCACCCCCAGCTCTCTCACCCTGGCTCCAGAGCACAGGGGCTAGTAATAGAAAAATCATGGGATATGCAGTTGGAATAGAGATATCCCAGCCATTCCTGAGTTTTCTTTCTGCTGGTCAAATGGAAAAAACATTTAAGGCCTTTGGTTTTCTTGTGTTGAATTTAATCCCACAGTACTTGGGACTCCTCATCTGGGGAAGCCCTGAGCTGGCAACATGGCTTGGGAATGGCTTTGTATTTTCATCAGAGCAGTGCACAATCGTGTGTTCAAGGCTGCTGTTTAATGCAATGAAGATGGGGAGAGAGATGAGGAATGAGCCAGGAGAAGATGTTTTTTGGAGATAAGCTGCACAGACTTGCACAGTGTGGTGTGCAGAGCTGGGAAAGGCTGGTGTCTGCAGGTCTCAAATGAAGTGAAGTAACTTGCCCAAAGGTCACTTGGGAAGCGAGGGGCAGATCCAGGAGTCTGGTCCTCCCTGGCCTCCCTACAGAGGCACTTTTCCTCCAGCACTTGGATGAGATTCCTTTAGGTGCCTTTGACCCTTACAGAGCTGCTGTTCTAGCAATGCATTGGGAGAAACATTGGATTTTGTTACGACTTCTGAGTGACTGTGAGCTTGGTGGAGCTTCACGTTCCCTGCCTTGGAGCATTATTAACAACGTTAAGTATCAGAATGGACATTGGATAACTCAGCATGAGTTGTGTGCAGCAGGGAGGAATTGTCAGGTGGCCTTCAGCAGAGGAAGAGGAGGAGTACAGCACAGCTAGGAGTGAGGGCTTTTTAACTGGAAATATTAATAACTAAATGATAATAAATCTATGCAAACATAATCTGGTCCAGGCCACTAAACTGCATTAATGTTTTTGTGTTTGTAATGTTCAGCCCATGAAAAGATCTCGTTCTACCCACTGAAGGCAGTTCTGAGCTGAATTAGGACAGAGAATTTGGAAAATGCCACAGACTCCTTGTTTTCAAGAGTGTATTAGTTGTGCAGGGGCATTGAGGTGCTGCTGCTCTGTGCTGGAAAAGAGCCAGCTGGTTGGGGTTATTGCAGAAGAGGGTTATGAAAGTGCCTGGTTCTCCTGGAAAACCAGGAGAATGCCAACTCCTGAAGTTATGAACTTCTTTTTTTATATATTAATATGTTTGGCTAATTTGCATCCTGGAGTTTGGAAAGAGTTGGCTGAGGAACAGTTTTTCTTGAATGTTGTTTTATAAGAACTGGTGAAACAGGGAAAGTTCCAGGAGGTGGGAGGAGAGCAGAGGACATGACCTGGGTGTGTGTGGCTGACTCACCTCCCTGTGAACCTCAAGTAAAACACTCAAATGCCTCGTGAAGAACTCAATTAAGAAGTGTTATGTAGTAATGCCAATCAGTATGTATTTATGGATCCTGTCCTACTAACTTGCTGCCTTCTTTCTTTTAGGACTAGATTCTTTTGAACAGAAAGTAGTTGTTTAGATATAATACTCCTCATAAGCCATTTAACTTAGTGCTTCATTATATTTGAATTAGGGAGATAAAATAATATTTAATCCAATCCTTGGAAGGGGATAGGTGCTTCTGGTGAGGTTATTTCATCTGTATGTTTGCACTGACAAAGGTTTTATATCATGGTGTCTTTTAAACTCTTCAGCAGTGACTTGGATGTAGTTGCTGCCCAAAGAGATCATGTGAAGAATGGAGTGTCCAAGACCAGGTTGGACAAGGCTTGGAGGAACCTGGCTAGTAGAGGATGTCCCTGCCCATGGCAGGGGAATGGAACTAGAGGGCCTTTAGGATCCTTTCCAACACAAACTCTTGTGTGATTCTGTGAAACAAGTCCCCATGGAGGTGGACAGGCTTTCGTGGTGCACAGGCCATGGTGGGCCACAGTGCTCTGAAGTTGTCTCTAACAAGCACCACAGCTTTTAAGGTCTAGGTGTTATGTAAGTAATAAGCATTTTGCCATCCTAAGTGGGAACAATCTCTTGGTTTTTCAGATTTCTCTTCATTCTGCTGGGACCAAAGGGCAAAGCCAAGTCCTACCATGAGATTGGCCGAGCCATTGCCACGCTGATGTCAGATGAGGTAGGTGTCCTGGCCTCTCCTGTGGGAAATGCCTTCTCCCAGGTAACAATGTCCTTCCCTCCAGCCTGCTCAACAGGAAGGACCATTCCTGTCAAGCTGAAATATCCACATCACCTCCCAATTCCATCTGTTGACATAATTATTTTCATGCTTCATGTTTTGTAAAAGTGTGACTCTAGGAGAGGTTTATCCACCGTGTGTATTTTGCTGCTAGCGATCACTCTTTCACATTCACTGTGAATTAATTGTTGAATTTATTGTGTCGTGGTCTGCACCTTGTGTCCCGTTCTGCCATCCCAGTATCCTGCAGCCAGGGATATGCAGGTAATGCCCACGGGCCTGTTTCCCCCAGGCTGTGGTGCTGTGTGTGGCACCGTGTCCTGAGCCCTGGCAGTGTTGATGTGTTAGGCAGGAGCAGCTGGCCACTCCTCTCTGCCATGGCTGGCCTTTCAGGATTCATTTGCAGCTCCTTCCTCCCAGCGTCCCTGGGGCTCTGCGTGCCGGGGCTCATTCACATCAGCTTTGTTTCTTGGCATTGCTTTGCTCTCCTGCAGTTCCTTAATTACAGCTCTCCTGCTTTCTGTCACTCAGGGCTCTGCTTTGCACAGCCCCAAAGGCCCTTCCTGCCACCAGCTCGTCTGTCACATGCACTGATCCACCTCCTCTCCACACAGTCCAGAAGATTCCTGTAGAATTCAGCACTCATGCTTTTCCCCTTCTCTCATTTGTTCGTCGTGATTAATACCAAGCCTTTCACTAAAACTAGTTTATGATATTGTTTTCAAGTAAATATTGTCATCAGTTCTGTGTCACAGGGTTGAAAATTAAACTGGGTTTGATAGACTGAATTAGGTGGCTTTTTCAAAGTGTCTTCTCCAAGTGTGATTGAAAGTCCTTATGTAGAGGAAAGCTTTTTTGCACTAAAGAAATAGATAATTGCTTTACTAACATTTTTAAAGATTAGAAATAGATGTTTTGCTTAAAATTAGATATATGCCTGCAAGGAAAGAATATCTGTCGTTATCCAGCCAAAGGAAGGGGCTTTCTGAGAGTCACACCTTCTTGTGCTACATGTCCTGATACTTCTTCAGAGGTTTCTGAGAAGGAATTAAATTGATTTTGTAGAACTCAGCAGCTGCTTCTGGAGTCAGGGCCACAGAAAATGCCAACTTTTTCCACATGGAGTCTCTTTTCCCTGCAGGTGTTCCATGACATTGCCTATAAAGCCAAGGATCGTCAGGACCTGATAGCAGGCATTGATGAATTTCTGGATGAAGTCATTGTGCTCCCCCCTGGGGAATGGGATCCAGCCATTAGGATAGAGCCCCCCAAGTCTCTCCCTTCTTCAGATAAGAGGTAATAGCAGCAGAGGGGCTCTGTGGCAGAAGACAGTGGGCATGAAGTGTGGAAAGGGGATGGGAAGAGCTGGTGTTTTGGTTGTGCCAGGTGTCTGGGGTGACCTGCACCTGTCTGTTCCTGTTTAGAAAGTCCTTGAGATATTTTCAGGCCTTCCTTAGTAGTTGGAGAGAGGATGTTCCTGAAAGTCTGAACCTTTTGAGGTGATGCTGTAGGCACACAATAACACAGCCGGTAGTTAGTCAGGCTCTTGAGGGTTCTCCTTAGTCCTTGTGACACGCTGTGTCCTTGCCTAGGAAGAACATGTACTCGGGTGGGGAGAACGTGCAGATGAACGGAGACACGCCCCACGACGGGGGGCACGGCGGCGGCGGCCACGGCGACTGCGAGGAGCTGCAGAGGACGGGCAGGTCGGTGACATCCCTGCAAAAAACATTGCCACCCCCACGGCCTGCCTGTACAGGCTGAGGTGGGACCCCAGAATGTGTCCTGGGCGCTTCTTGTGCCCAGAGTGACGCTGTCTGAAGGGTTCCAAACGGCAGAATGTCATGACTCAGATACTCATTCAATGATAAAGAGCCATTAACAAGGACAGAAGGCCCAGGTGGGTGCTGCCTCTTGGGAACTGTGAAGTCACATGAACCATAAGGGACATAAACATGGCAGGTACAAGCCTCAGTTAATCCATTTGGATTGCTGAAGGGCTGCCTTAGCCAAAAGCAGAGATGTTCCCTTTTCTGGACATTACTGTTGCACAGCTGAAGGCTTTTATAGATAGACATAGAATAAGGATAGAAATAGAGAAGGTAACAGCTCCCCAGGCTCTACTCTCTGCTTTATTACTCTGCTTTGTGCCATGTAAAAGTCCACTGGAGTGGGAATACTGCTCAAATAGTCATGAAACAGCAAGCTCAGCATTTCAAGATTCATGCACAGGGTTTCATAATGGCTTTGTGCCCTCCCTCCCACTCTGTGTCTTCTTTTTCAGTTCTAGTTCTAGTCTAAATTCTGGGAGAAAAGTCTGAAAGTCTTCACACTGCATTGGTGTATACAAGGCAGTGGAGTGTCCTGATTTGGGGTCAGAAGGTGGCATGTGCCTGTCTGCCACAGTGTCTGTGCAGTCCTGGCATAGGTGGGGAGCTGTGGGCAGGGGAACAGGAGGCTAAACAAACTATTTCTGTGCTGGCAGTGTCAGTGCCACGTGGAGTTGATAAGAGTTAAATGCTGTCTTGTCTGTGGTCATACAAAAAGGGATGTCTGCAAGTGAGTTCTTTTATTGTCTAAGAGTATCATTTTTACTTCTAGTTCTTTTGCTGGTTATTTGAAGCATTTTTCCATACAGTGGATTGTTTGGCTCGCCCAGCCATGGTGTCTGCTATGTGGAGAAATTCAGGCAGGGGTTTAGACCAGAGTTCATCTATTTGATTACATCAACTAATATATTTTGGGGGAAAAAAGCCAACAGATGAGCTTCCTGAAATACAAACTGTAGTGGTCTGTTTCAGCAGAAGGGTGGCTTGTAGTCCTAAAATGTCTGTTTCCAGCTGCATCACATGTTTGAGATAATTTCTTTCCTTATAACGTTGTCTCTGAGATCCCTGGACCGGCACAGCTGTGATAAGACTGTTTGCAGTGTGGTGATCTCACTCCTTTGAGATAATACTTCATTGCTGGCAGTGTCTCTGATGACTTAGCCTGGTGATTTCCACTGTGAAACACCTTGCACGAGTCTCCTCTTGCTTGTCCTCGCAGGTTCTGTGGGGGCTTGATCAAAGACATCAAGAGGAAAGCACCGTTCTTCGCCAGCGACTTCTACGATGCTTTAAACATCCAGGCCCTCTCAGCCATCCTCTTCATCTACCTGGCCACTGTCACCAATGCCATCACTTTTGGGGGATTGCTTGGGGATGCTACGGAGAACATGCAGGTGAGCAAGAGCTTTCAGAAGCAACAAACACAGCATTTGCCTTTTGCTGTGCAGTCAGAGCAATGTTTGGGCACTGGCAAAGCTGGAATTCTTGCTACAATAATGGAGGTGGTCCCTGTTTTCACTGCATTCTCTGCTGCTATGGCTGTCCTTTGACAAATTGGACAGAAGTTTCTTAAATGGTGAATAAAAGCAGGCCCAAGAGACAGAGAAGGTCTTTGCTCCTTCTGTAGAGAGAAGTTCCTCTGATCTGCTCTCAGTTGTACCATTTTAGTCCAATTAAGTTTGCTAAGTCTGAATCATCTGCCTGATTCCTACAATACCTGGGCTTTGGACTCTCTAATGAAAAGAAAATCCCAAAATAATTAGGAAAATGAGTGACACAGGAGAGAAATGTCAGGTCTTTAGAAAGATGAATTTTGTAGTAGTGGGAGGTCACATGCTGAGAACCAGCCACATATCCATGGACAGACTGGATCAATGGCTTAGCTCAGCCTAAGGAGAAGGGATTCTCTGTTAACTGGTGCTGTAGGTGCTTTGGGTTAGTGGAATAATAGGAAAAGTAGGAGGTTGTATTTAGATAGATTCAGTTCAGCCAGTCCAGTTCAGTCAAATCTCCTAGCAATAATTCAGCTCGTAATGACAATGACTGAATTATTAATTTATGCAGGTTTAATTAAGTCAGACATAGGAAATGAGGGCACATATCTGGAACCCTGCACTCCCCTGTGATGAATTACAGGCTAGAGTAAGATCCAGCAGTCTGTGCAGTGCCCAGCTCCCTCTCTCTTGTTCAGTTTGCCTTTTGTGAGACCCATGGAAGTCAGGAATGGAGAGACATCCAGGACCCACCAGTGAGCAACACTGGACTGTGGGGGAGCAGCAGAGCAAAGCCTGTCTGCTGTGCACAAGGTGCAGTCTTTAAATTAGAGGAGGAAGAGGATATGTTACCTGATTCCAAATCTAGTTCAACCTGAGAATCACTTAATTGTGGCCAAAAGTCTCAAGAATACTTACTACCAAGTAGCAAAAAACCCCCCAAACCCCGTAGTATTTTTGGGGCTACTACATCACAGTTCGTGTGTCTTGTTTGCTCTAAACAATGATGTGGCTGCTGCTGGGGCAGGCACTGAGCAAGGCCCATCCCTGCTCCCTGTCCTGGGAGCTGCCCCAGCCAGCACTTCCTTCACAGCTCACTCCTGAGTTTTATGTTTCCACGAAAAGACACTATTCTTAGCTACAGACACGTGGAAGAATGCAGAGAAAAGAGATTACAGATGCTCTGGCCATGAGAGCCCTCTCCATGAGTAATACAAGAGGAGTGGAGGGGATCAGCTCTTTATTGGGCTCATCCTTACAAGTCCCCAAAGGCAGCCAGCCTATTGCTTTGCTCAGTGTAAACACCAACTCGTGTCTTCTCCAGGAAGAGAGACAAAAAACTGAATTTCAGTTCTTGCAGTACCCCTGATAAGTCAGGAAAGCTGCAGCCCCATCCCTGGAGCACAAGTGGAAGGGAGGATCAGTATGTGCTGTTCATTTCCAGCTGCTCAGCATGTTGGTTATCCGAGTAACTGTGGGTTGTGTGGGACCGAGCTGTTGGTGTGAGCTGCAGGGGAGGCAGAGGATGATCTCCCCTTGGTCGTGGGCACGGGGCCACGACAGAAGCACTCTTTTGGAGAGGGTTGTCCTGCAGGAGTGATGCTCTCCTGTGTCTCCACAGGGCGTGTTGGAGAGCTTCCTGGGCACGGCTGTCACCGGCGCCATATTTTGCCTTTTGGCTGGTCAGCCCCTCACCATCCTGAGCAGCACAGGACCCGTCCTGGTCTTTGAGCGGCTCCTCTTCAATTTCAGCAAGTGAGTACTGGGGGAGAGGGCGGAGGGCAGCAGCGTCCCACACCAAGGAAAGCCCAGCCAGGAATGAGCTGCCTGCCCATGGGGAAGGAGGGGATTTAGTGCACAGAATGAAACGTTTCATTCCTCCTGGAGATGCAGTGCAATCACAGCAGGGATTTTCCCCGCACGCACGTCCCAGGGCACTGCCCAGGGTGTGGCTGCCTGTCTCTGGGGGGGCCTCCTGAAAAAAAACCTTGGCCACTTCAGTCCTCCCTGAGGAATTTGCTCTAGTTACAGCGTGCTGCTTCTCTAACTCCCATAGGAGCAAAGAAAGGAATCCTGCTCTTCACTAACAAAATCCCATGGGTCTCCAGGTTGCCAAAAATTTGTCCAGTAGTCATTTGAAATAATCACTATTATGTAGGAAAGCAAATGTGTCTGTGGCCAAAACAGCCTGCAGAATTCTATGGTGGAGCTTTCCTGCATTTAAAGGCACTGGGGATTTTTCCTTTTAATTGGTGTGAAGAGATTCTGCTCCCTCCATGTTGTTTACAGCTGACAGAGCTAAAGGGAGCCCATTTGGTTAGGTGTGCTCATTTACCATTTCTCACACCTGCAATACCAGGAAGATATACTGGAATCCCCAAAGCAATCAGCAGTGTCAAGGGTGATTTCACCCATGGGGCTGGTGATCCTTTGGCTGGTGTTCTGCAAGCAGATGGTTTTAAGTTACACAGAATACCCCCCCAAATCCCTTGTAGTGTGTGTTCTCAGCATGGCAGGTTGTGCAGGACTTGTGTTCCTGCGTGTAGGGAGGGATGGGGGCTAGAAAAAATGGCTGGAAAATTAAATTATCCCAGGGAGAGAAATTGGAGGCTACCAAAGGGTTAGAGTTGCACAGTGGAGCAAGAGGAGGGCACCTTTCTTTTTTTATTTCATCTGGAATAAATGAATAGAGCCAGGAATGGACACCTTGCACCTGTTGGATGTCTGGCAGGCATTACAAAGCCCAGGTGCAGCACACAGCAGGAAAAAATCAAGATAGAAAAGCACTTTTGTTTTGGGAGGGAGAAGGTGTTTATTTTTAACCTGAGGAGGAGGTGGTGGTTATAAAAGCCATTGTCCTAACAACCTGCCAGAGCAGAAATGCAGGAGTTTTCAAAGGAAGCCTTTCTTACAAAGAAATTGGAACTAAGTACTTTGATTTTTCAGTAATGCATTTGTGGTTGTTCATTTTCACAGCACAGTGTTCCCTGCTAGGAGCAAAAGGAGAAAAACTTCCCATCTCCTAACTCATTTAAAGTGTGATTCTGTGTGTGTATCTGAAAAGATCCCTAAAAACCCCTGCAGACCCAGCCAAGTGTCTGACCTCAGGTGCTCCATGGTGCTGGCACCAGGGACCAATCCTACAGGACACGATGCTTTTCCACATGCTCTGTCAGCTTCAGAAGTGCTGCAGGAATTTGAGGAGTAAAAGCCAAAATAATATAGTTTAAAATTTTTGAAGTTCTTCAATGGTGTGGAGTCAGTGTACCTGGGTTTCTGCCAGCTGCCTTCAGAGGGAAGGGACCTCCTGGCCCCTCAGGCACTGACTCCAGATATTTCAGAGTTGTCACTCGGGTCTTGTATTAGTATTTTTATTTTTTCCCTTCTCTTTTTCTAAATTACTTTGTTTCTTACTTGCTCCTTGCCCTCTTCCAGGTCAGGGCTTCTGGCTTCCAGAGAATTACAGCTGGCTGAGCCTGCCAGTCCCACCACCTCTTGCTTCCTTCCCCAGAACAGGCCTTCCTGGCAGGTCCTCATCTGCTCCAGTGTTCCCTTTAGGCACTTGTTCATTCCTAAAACCCCACCTTGGGACTCTGTGCTGGCCCAGCACCTCAGCCTCAAGCAGAAAACAAGGGGCCATCGTTCCCAGGAGGGAATGATGCAGTTGGGTGCCTGGTTCTCCACACCCTGCCATTCCTGGCACCGGGCTTTGTCATAGAATCATGGAAAATCCCAGGTTGGGAAGGACCCATAAGGATCAGTCCAACTCTCTGCACCTGGCAAGACTACCTAAAACTAAACCATAAGACTAAGAGCCCTGTCCAGGTACTCCTTGGACTCTGTCGGGTCAGGTGCCCTAATGCTTCCCTGGGGAGGCTGTTCCCATGTCCAGCCACTCTCTAGGAGGAAGATCTTACATGTCCAATCTCCACTTGCCCTGACCCAGCTTCATTCCATGTAACATGTGCTTGGTACTTCTGATCTTATCTAACACAATGTCTCCTTTCCTGCCACCCTTGCCTTGTTGCAGGGACAATGACTTTGACTACCTGGAGTTCCGCCTCTGGATCGGCCTCTGGTCAGCCTTCCAGTGTCTCATCCTTGTGGCCACTGATGCCAGCTTCCTGGTCAAGTACTTCACCCGCTTCACTGAAGAAGGATTCTCTTCCTTGATCAGCTTCATCTTCATTTATGATGCTTTCAAGAAGATGATCAAGCTGGCAGATCATTATCCCATCAACTCCCAGTTCAAGGTGGACTATATCACACATTACTCTTGTGCCTGTAAACCACTAGATCCAGGTAAGGGAGTGTTCATTACCTCTCCAGTTTGTAGGTTGGAGGTGGCCTTTGCTCTCCTTTTCCCTTGTGCTGCAGCCCAGATAATTGGTAGGTTATTCCTTCTTTATCAGTTGCCCTTGGATAGCCTATCTTAGTCTCAGGAAGCTGAGAGGTAGATTTCACTCTACATGCCAAGTGGAATGCCAGTACAGCTGGCCTGCCTGGAACTCCTCCAGAGAGCGTCATGATCAGTGGAAAAGCTGTTTCTGCACCCATGTCTCTTTGCATCCCTGTGGCTGTCAGTTCCAAATGGCCTTCCTCCA